CTAGACAACTGGCTGCCCTACAGACCGCGCGCATCGGAAGTCCCGACGTACGCCGGGAGTTCCGACTTTGATGTGTTCGTAATGAGCTCTATCGTTTGGAGCAGTGGGATAGTATTGAGTCTTCTCCTCCGCCGCCGTTTGTGCCTTCCCGTGATCCTTTGGCTCTTTATGATGAGGCGTGTGCGGCATATGAGGACGATGCTGCTTCTCGCCCTCATTGCAAGAGCAAGGCCACTGCAGAGGACGAGGACTACATCGATGAAGATGATGATGACGATGACGATAATGGTGACCATGATGATGATGTGGACTACGAGGACGAGTAGTCGTTTCTTTCATGCGGCCTACCCCTTTTGGCACTTGTTGACAAAGGGGGACTGTTAGGCTTTGATCTATCATGTAATAAATTAGTTGGTCACTTAGTTTTGAGACCTTAAAACTTTTAGCTTGTATGAACTATGTCGTGTGGTGGCTAGTATGTGATGGACAACTATATATTAGCTTGTGCTTGTCTCTACTTGTGATGATGAATGTTTTATTTTGGATGGCCATGTATTGCTTCAAGTTTCTACTCTGAATTCTTGGCCACCACATTCTCTTTTACTTGTTGTGTGAATATAACATGTCATACTGTATCTCTTTTTACGGATATATTTTAGTTCACACACTTGTTGCACCCCACATATTACAAAATTTAGAGGGAGCTTTTGTCTTGATGTATGCAAATCATGTATAGATGGTTCTAATTGAAATTGAAATTCTGGCATACATCAAAGGGGAGCTCTTCATAGATTTTGGGGTTCAAAAGCTTTAAATTCTTCCGTTCTTATAAAAGCCTAAGTTGGTTGCCATCAATTACAAAAAAAGGGGGAGATTGAAAGTCCATTTGCCCCCTATGTGGGTTTTGGTGTATTGATGACATCCAAATTAGGGACTAATGTGATCTTAATGAGATATGTCACAGCTATTAGTCCCATGAAAGATTCAAAGAGTTGATAAAGATGAAATGGTATCCCTTAATTCTTGAAGTGGTAAAAGGTGTCGAACTCAAAGCGGATTTTCAAGTTTACATTTTATGCTTTTGAGTTTAGGTATACCGTACTATAAAGAGGGATGCAAACTTAGTTGGTCTGAGGAAGATAGGGTGCTTAAGTATAAAAATGAAATCAAAAGAGAGACACTCTAGCACTTCACGAACACGTGGAATAGTTTTCGGCGACTTTTGGTGTTGGAAGTCCCGACGTAAGTCGTAAGTCCCAACATAAGTCAGAACTCCCGACCGTCGAAACTCACGACTCACGTCGGAAGTCCTGACGCCAGCTACTTATCGTGTGCGGTGACTGTGGCCATCGGAAGTCCCAACACCTGGACAACTGGCTGCCCTACAGACTGTGCGCGTCGGAAGTCCCGACGTACGCCGGGAGTTCCGACTTTGATGTGTTCGTAATGAGCTCTATCGTTTGGAGCAGTGGGCTAGTATTGAGTCATCTCCTCCGTCGCCGTTTGTGCCTTCCCATGATCCTTTGGCTCTTTATGATGAGGCATGTGCGGCATATGAGGACGATGCTGCTTCTCGCCCTCATGGCAAGAGCAAGGCCACAACAGAGGACGAGGACTACATCGATGAAGATGATGATGACGACGACGATAATGGTGGTGATGATGGTGACCATGATGATGATGAGGACTACGAGGACGAGTAGTCATTTCTTTCATGCGGCCTACCCCTTTTGGCACTTGTTGACAAAGGGGGAGTGTTAGGATTTGATCTATCATGTAATAAGTTAGTTGGTCACTTAGTTTTGAGACCTTAAAACTTTTAGCTTGTATGAACTATGTCGTGTAGTGGCTAGTATGTGATGGACAACTATATATTAGCTTGTGCTTGTCTCTACTTGTGATGATGAATGTTTTATTTTGGATGGCCATGTATTGCTTCAAGTTTCTACTCTGAATTCTTGGCCACCACATTCTCTTTTACTTGTTGTGTGAATATAATATGTCATACTGCATCTCTTTTCACGGATATATTTTAGTTCACACAATTGTTGCACCCCACGGATTGCAAAATTTAGAGGGAGCTTTTGTCTTGATGTATGCAAATCATGTATAGATGGTTCTAATTGAAATTCAAATTCATGCATACATCAAATGGGGGCTCTTCATAGATTTTGGGGTTCAAAAGCTTTAAATTCTTCCGTTCTTATAAAAGCCTAAGTTGGTTGCCATCAATTACAAAAAAGGGGAAGATTGAAAGTGCATTTGCCCCCTATGTGGGTTTTGGTGTATTGATGACATCCAAATTAGGGACTAATGTGATCTTAATGAGATATGTCGCAGCTATTAGTCCCATGAAAGATTGAAAGAGTTGATAAAGATGAAATGATATCCCTTAATTCTTGAAGTGGTAAAAGGCGTCGAACTCAAAGCGGATTTTCAAGTTTACATTTTATGCTTTTGAGTTTAGGTATACCGTACTATAAAGAGGGATGCAAACTTAGTTGGTCTGAGGAAGATAGGGTGCTCAAGTATAAAAATAAAATCAAAAGAGAGACACTCTAGCACTTCACGAGCATGTAGAATAGTTTTCGGTGACTTTTGGTGTTGGAAGTCCCGACATAAGTCGAAACTCCCGACATAAGTCGAAACTCCTGACCATCGAAAGTCACGACTCACGCCAAAAGTCCTGACGCCAATTACTTAGCTTGTGTGGTGATTGTAGCCATCGGAAGTCCCAACACCTGGACAACTGGCTGCCCTACAGACCGCACGTGTCAGAAGTCCCGACGTACGCCGGGAGTTCTGACTTTGATGTGTTCGTAATGAGTTTGACCTTGCATGAACAATGTTTTCTTCAGAGGTCGAAAGTCCCATGATCTCCGTCGAAAGTCCCGACGTAGATCTAAACGGTTAGATTTTTACTATGAGTATAAATAGCCCTCTCCTCTTTTCTAACACAGACTCACTTATTCACTGCTCACCAACCTTCATACAAAATAGCTCCCAAGCATTCAAGACTCCTCTCTCATTTGCTCCAATCTTTGATTCCCCTAGGGTTTTGAGTGAAAGGAGAGTGGATTGAGTGAGAGCATCACCTTGGCAAGCTTGAGCACTCGATTTCTTCGTAAGCCGGTTGAATTCACGCCTATTACTCTTGGGACTTTTCCTCTTGCCGGCTAGACGTCGTCCAAGAGCTTCTATTTTATGGAAGAGCCTTGAGAAGTTTGTATTACCCTTGATTTCTTTGTGAAAACCTCGAGTGACATTTGTGGTTGCTTTGAGAGAGACAAGGAGGGGAAAGAGACTCCGACCTTTGTGGTCACCTCAACAACGAGGACGTAGGAGCTAGTTTGTGGGGTTGCTGAATCTCAGGATAAATCCTTGTGTCCTACGTGCTTGTTGTTTGTTGACACTTGTGCTATCACTTTTGTTCTTGTGTGTCTCTTCCTCGCCAAAGATTTTCTTAGGGTTTGGACTCGATCTACGGAGTGGTGACCTTTCGACGTCAAAGAAGCAACCCCAACGCGTTACCTTACCACTAGGAAGGGGGTTGTAAGTTATCGAAGTCACAAAGTTCATTTTAGCACTTGTAGTACATTTCTCGTAGGCGTCGGGACTTCCGACAGTCGCTGACAAGTGACTTTGAGTTTTGTGTAGAATTTTTTAGATACGCCTATTCACCCCCTCTCGGCATTGTTTAGATCCTTTCAAGTTGTGTGGTGGCGACGCCCAGGAGTGCCATGGCTGGGCTACGCTTCCAAGTGGTCACCGTCGTCGTGGCCCTCGCGGCCGTCAGCTGACGCGGCTTCGAGATCCGGAAGGCCGCGACCTCCCGTAGCCGCTGCGCCGGTGGCCTACACAGCGTCTCCTCGCCACCGGCGCCGCGCCCACGGCCAGCTCACCACTGGCGGCCTACGTGCGCCAATCTCATGCGCTGGACGGGCTACCCCGTCGGGATCCGTGTCGGCGTCGACTACATGTCTTCAACCACCTCCAGTTCACCGTCCTCGTCGGGATCTGAGGCAGGGCTGCCGCACCGGAGCAGGGCAACGCGCCCGCGCTCGACCTCGCCGGCAACCACCTCACCGATGGGGTGGGAGCCGCGTGGAGGAGGGAGATGGTGGAGGCACGGGAGGAGTGGTGGCCGAAGGTGAGGAAGATGGCGTGGGCGCACGGAAGCTTCCTGGTGAGCCGCTGGGGAGGAAGGAAGGGGCGGAGCCGCGGGGAGGGAGGTGGTGGCGGCGGCGCTGTCATGGCAAGGTGGGTAGTGCCGGAGGGGGCAACGTGGGATTCGGAGGAAGACACCGCAGGTGACGGCAACGTCCGCTCCAGCCACCCCGAGCGCCCGCTCGGGCTGAGCCCAGGAGGATCGAAAACGAAATTTGTTCCCCATGACCTGGCTGAGGCCTGCTTTAACGAGCGTGCAGACCGGGCTGAGAACCACGTCCAGATAAACAAACAGTTGCAGCCCGCGAGTGCAGTGACCCGACTTGGCCAGGCAAACAAACGCGCCCCAGCTGACCTCGACGCCATGCAGCCCCCGCCTGGACCTGGCCACAGCGCAGCGCGCCCGCGCCGCTGCCCGTTCGGATCCGTGTCGGCTCCAGCTCGCCTCCCCACGCACGCATCCCCACGGCGCCTACTACGCCAAACTAGAAACCCACGCGCGGTCACTGACACCCGGGGCCTCGGCGGCCGGGCCTGCGCACGAGTGACGGGATCCCGAGCTGATGCGCAAGTGGGGCGTGTGCGGGCTGGTGTCTCACAGCCACAGCCACGGCACACCAGGATCCAGCCTGGCTCCTCCCACTCCACGGCTCCGCCGTTCCTCACCCGATTCTTATACCAACTCGTCCCCTCCCTTATCTCCCTCACCACGCATCGCCCTCGCCCTCGCTCTCGCTCCGCATTACCCCCATCGCCGCCAAATCTCAGCGGAATTTCGCGCGGATTTTAGGTGTGGGAGGGAGTGGAGGTGTGACAGGAGCAGCAAGCGCGCCATGGATCCGTGCCCGTTCGTGCGGGTGCTGGTCGGCAACCTCGCGCTCAGAATGCCGGTGGCGCCGCCGGCCGCCGGGGCCGGCGCGGGCGTCCACCCGTCCACGTCTCCGTGCTACTGCAAGATCCGGCTCGGGAAGATGCCGGTCCAGACCGTTCCGGCGCCGCTCGTGGTCTCCGACGGCGGCGAGCAGACGCCGGCGTCCGGGGCCCTCGCCGCCGCGTTCCACCTGTCCAAGGCTGACCTGGCGTGGTTCAACGGGAAGCCGTCGCTCTTCTCGTCGCGCGGGAGGCCAGCCTGAAGGTGTCGGTCTACGCCGGCCGGAAGGGGAGTACCTGCGGCGTCAGCTCCGGGCGGCTGCTTGGGAAGGCTACGATCCCGCTCGACCTCAAGGGCGCCGAGGCCAAGCCCGCCGTGCTGCACAGCGGCTGGATCTCCATCGGGAAGCGAGCCGGGAAGGGCCGCCTCGCGGCGGCGACGGTGCTCAGCCTCACCGTCCGCGCGGAGCCGGACCCGCGATTTGTCTTCGAGTTCGACGGCGAGCCGGAGTGCAGCCCGCCGGTGCTGCAGGTGGGCAGCACCATGAAGCAGCCCATGTTCACCTGCAAGTTCGGATGCCGCAGCAACAGCGACCTGCGCAGGCCGGGGATGCAGCCGGAGCGCGACGCCGGCGCGTCGGCCAAGGAGCGCAAGGGGTGGTCGGTGACGGTGCACGACCTGAAGGGCTCCCCCGTGGCGATGGCGTCCATGATCACGCCTTTCGTGCCGTCGCCGGGCACGGACCGCGTGAGCCGCTCCAACCCGGGCGCGTGGCTCATCCTTCGCCCCCGCAGGCGACGGCGCCTGGGAGCCCTGGGCGCGCCTCGAGTGCTGGCGCGAGCGCGGCGGCGCCGGCGCGTCCGACAGCCTGGGCTACCACTTCGACCTCCTCGTCCCCGGTGCGGACCACGCCGTCGCACTCGCCGACTCCTCCATCCCCTCATCCAAGGGCGGCAAGTTCGCCATCGACCTGACCGCCGCGCAGCCGCTCAGCCGGGGCGGCACGCCCAGGTGCAGCCGAGAGGCAGCGGCGACCTAAGCAACTGGCCCCTGGGCAACTACCGCGGCTTCGTCATGTCCGCCGCGGTGCAGGGCGAGGGCCGGTGCAGCAAGCCGACGGTCGAGGTCGGGGTGGCGCACATCAGGTGCGCCGAGGACGCGGCGGCATTCGTGGCCCTCGCGGCGGCCGTGGACCTGAGCATGGACGCGTGCAGGCTCTTCTCCAACCGGCTGAGGAAAGAGCTCTCGCACCTGCGGGCCGACCTACTCCGGTGACCCACTGGTGACCGGACCGCCGGCAACCACGAATCACGAGCAAATTGTACAGAAAGTAGTTGCGGCAGATTTGTGCTTTAGCGTGCGCTAGTTTGTTGGAGTAGTTCGATTCCGGTGATCGACTAGTTGATCGTGGTCACCTACCTTTTTTCGTGAGCGCTGAGTGTGGTGTGGTGTGATTTTTGGTTGGTTGCTTCGCTTTAGCTATGTAGGGTGTCCTCTTTTTTGGATCGCTCCATAATTTTGAGCAATTTGTGATCATGAACTCTCTGCTTCCAGTTCTTTGAATCCAAATTGAATGAGCAACGATTACAATGGCCGAAGGGCTGGTGCTCGCGGTGATCCGCATCACTGCTTCAATACTATAGGACGTTTATACCCCATGGCAAAACATGGATGAAACCAACAAGCTCATGTTTTGTTTTGCCCGGGAAATTGGGGTGCACATTCGATTGGACCGACAGTGCCTTTGCAAACAGGTTAGTAGTCGCAATCGCAAATGCTCGAGCTGTGGATCGACTCAAAAAAAAATTCAATCAAAAGGAGAAAAAAAAGGAGCGTGAAAGGCAGGGCAAAGGACAGTAGGAGCTGTGCGGAGGCATAGGCGCAGGCAGGCGGGCAGAGAGGGGAAGGTGGGTGGTGGGGGAGCACGGCGGGCCGGCTTGCCCCTCCGGCGCGGGCTGGGCAGCGGCCAGCGGGCAGGGGCAGGCGCCAGTAGAGACTCCTAGTGCTGGGACCTGGGAGTTTGTTTGGATTGGCGCCCAGCTATGCATGCTCGCTTCGCTCCTTTCCGTTCCGTTTGGCTGCCTGCCCGCTTGCCGTTGCAGCTGCGGTGGAGCTGGGTCCGCCCGCTCCGGGCAAACCCAAAAGGAATCCAACGCAGAGTACTACTCCTACAGTGGAACGAAGAGGGAAATGACTGCGTTGAGATTCGTTTCATGCTCGTTTCCTCTAGCATTGAGGACTCTACGATGTTGAACACCGACTTAGGCCTGGTTTAGTTGGCGAATTTTTTTTGAAACGGTACTGTAGCACTTTTGTTGTTATTTGGCAATTAGTATCCAATCATAGTCTAATTAGGCTTAAAAGATTCGTCTCGTGAATTTCGTCTAAACTGTGTAATTAGTTTTATTTTTTATTTATATTTAATGTTTCATGCACGCGTCCAAAGATTCGATGCGACGGAAAATCTTGAAAAATTTTGCAAAATTTTGGGAACTAAACAGACACTTAGCAAAAAACCAAGGCGGAAGGTGTACAACAATCAACTGGGGATACCACCGACAAAAATATTCAAGGTATTACAGCAAACATCCCGAAATAAGAGGCTTAACCCTACGTGAGAACTAAAAGCTTAGGTCAACCTCTAGCCCTCCAGGAGTTGACATTGAAGTATTAGAAACAACGTTATAAAACTTCTCGCTGAGGTTGGCCTTATAAATCCGACTTAACACGACTTGGGAACCTCTAAGCCCAACTCCTTGAGATCAAGCCATTTGCGTGACCCAACCGATTCCTCCCAGAGGATCTCTGTACTTAGCAGATCCCCCACCGACTTGAGCCCCGGGCCAGCTTCAACACGTTTGCTTTCATAGGATCTTTCACTTCTAAAACAAGTAACTTGAGAGCCTGCCCAGTCTCGTGTAAGAGCAAACTATTGGAAAAGGAAAATACGGGAGGAAGAACTGGAAGAACCGACAGGAACAGCGCAATGGCCGGATTTACTCAGAACAAAGTATAGTTTTGTGTTTTCCTCCCTGCCCTCTCCTCTGTCCTTACTGCTACTTAATACATTTACTAAGCTTGCCACATTGGGCCAACAATCCTTGTATTGGGCCGGCGCAGTCTCTTGGGCCGATCAGCCCGAGCAGCCTCCTGTTCAGCTTCCGGCGTGTCGTCCTCGGTAGTCACCGGCACAGGAAGTGGCAGGCTGCTAACATTCCCCTCATCTTCAGAACCAGCATGTCCCCAGGCTGGTGCCCGCGGAAACTGTTGGTGCAGTTGCTCAAGCGGCTCCCAAGTAGACAGCTCCGGAGGTGAATGTGACCACTGGATAAGACCTTGTGCCACAAGGCGAGGCCCAGACGTCCAGCGCCGTTGCAGCACCCGAAGCGGAAACTGAAACGGCAGCAGATCAGAAGGTAGTGATGGTGATACCTGCTGATGTCCAGGAGACGAGTGCAGCTGCGAGACGTGGAAGACCGGATGTACAGCAGCGCTCGGTGGAAGTTACAGCTTGTATGCAACTGAACCAATCTTTTGAATGACTTGAAATGGTCCAAAGAACTTGAAAGATAGCTTGTTGTTGGAGCGGCGGAACAGTGATGATTGGATATAGGGCTGAAGCTTCAAGAACACCATATCGCCCACAGAGAACTGACGCCCAGAACGGCCTTTATCAGCTTGCTGTTTCATTCGAGTCTGAGCGCGGAGCAAGTGCTGCTTGACAACAGCATGCATGAGCTCACGATCAACCATCCACTTGTGAAGATCAGGCACTGGAGCCACCTCATCCAAGTTCACCGACAACAGTCATGGAGGAAAACCATATAAGACCTCAAAGGGGGAACGGCCCAGTGCGGAATGTGTAGAAGTATTATACCAGAATTCCGCGAGTGGTAACCATCGACTCCACTGAGCTGGGCAAGTGTGCACAAAGCAGCGAAGAAATGTTTCGACACACTGGTTGACACGTTCGATCTGGCCGTCCGTCTGAGGATGGTATGCTGAACTGAACTGAAGCTCGGAACCGGCTGCCTTAAATAGAGATTTTCATAAGTTGCTTGTAAAGATGCGGTCATGGTCCGATACAATGGCTCGAGGTAGACCATGAAGGCGATACACTTGGTCCATGAAGATCTTGCCCACAGAAGCTGCTGTAAAGGGATGACGCAGGGAAATAAAGTGTGCAAACTTGGAGAACTTGTCCACCACGACTAAGATGGCATTGTAGGATCCAGACTGTGGCAACCCCTCGATGAAATCCATCGTGATCACTTCCCAGGAGGCAGACGGCACAGGAAGAGGCTGCAAGAAACCTAGGTAGTGAGATCTGTTCGGCTTAGCTTGCAAACACACCGCACAGGATTGGACATAAGCCCAAATGTCTGATTTCATACCCGGCCAGAAGAACAAAGATTTAATTTTATTATAGGTTGCTGGAGCTCCTGAGTGACCACCCAAAGGACTGTTATGCAGTGCAGTCATGATTTTAAGGTGCATGGGTTTATTGGAGCCGAGCCACAGACGATTCTTATATCTGATGACGCCCTGGACCAAGGAGAATGGAGGGTGGCTGTTTGCACTGGCAGCCAGCTGAGACAACAAGGCCATAGCAGCTTGGTCAGAGTTGTATCCCCTAACCACTTCATCGAGCCAAGTGTTGGAGACTGAAGATATAGCATAGCTCTGGGTCATGGGCACTCGGCGGGACAGAGCATCTACCACGCTGTTCTCTGAGCCTTTCTTATACAGGATCTTGTACTGTAACCCGAGCAGCTTGGAGAAGACTTTCTGTTGCCAAGCGATATGGAGCCGCTGTTCATTAAGATGGACCAAGCTGCGATGATCAGTGTGAATGAAGAATTCACCCTGGAGCAAGTAGTGACGCTACTGTTGGATAGCTAGCAAGATGGCGAGGTATTCCTTCTCATAGATAGACAACCCTTGATTCCGGGGACTTAAAGCCTTGCTGATGAATGCTATGGGATGCCCATTCTGCTGTAAAACGGCGCCAATCCCTGTACCTGAGGCATCTATTTCAATGTGGAAGGGTAAAGAGAAATCTGGCAATGCCAGGACAGGAGCTGTACAAAGAGCCTGTTTCAGGACCGAAAATGCAGAGTCATGGGCTGAAGTCCAAATGAACAACTGATCTTTCTTCAGGAGATCGGTTAGAGGCTTGGCAATAATGCTGAAATGACGCACAAACTTGCAGTAATAGCCGGCAAGGCCTAGAAACCCATGGAGCTCCCGAACTGAAGATGGAACGGGCCATTCAATGATGGCTTGTGCCTTTGCTGGGTCCGTGGAAAGACCTTGGCCGCTGATGATATGACCCAAGTAGGAGATGGACTCCCGGGCGAAGGTGCATTTAGATAGCTTGAGCTTCCACTGATCAGCACGTAACCACTGAAACACTTGGCGCAGATGATCAACATGAGCTTCAAAAGTGGGGCTGTAGACGAGGATATCATCAAAGAAAACCAGCACAAAGCGACGCAACCCCGGAGCCAAAGTACCATTCATTGCGCCTTGAAATGTGCCTGGTGCACCGGTAAGACCGAATGCCATCACTCTGAACTCGTACTGACCCAGGTGAGTCTGGAAGGCGGTCTTGAATTCTTCACCGGGTTGCAAAAGTATCTAGTGGAAACCAGCTCGAAGATCCAGTGTCGAGAACCACTTAGCTTGGGCGAGCTCATCCATCAACTGGTCAAACACTGGCACAGGAAACTTGGACTTTCTAGTCAGAGCATTGAGATGTCTGAAATCAACACAAAAGTGGTATGAGCCATCTTTCTTTTTGACAAGTAGAACCGGGGAGGAGAAGGAACTAGAGCTCGGCTGAATGAGTCCCTGTGACAACATCTCCTGAACCTGTGCTTCGATTTCATCTTTCAATTTGGGTGGATACCGATAAGGCCGGATGAAAACAGGTTGAGCACCAGGCAACAGAGGGATCTCATGGTTACAAGCACGGGAAGGAGGCAGAGATGTTGGTGGCTGGAACAAGTAAGAGAACTCTTCAATTAACTGATGGATTGGAGTTGGAACCGTGATGGCATCCTGATTTGCAGACAGCACAGGCTCTGAATGTTCAAGTTGCAACAGTAGTTGATCTGGTTCATCAGGAAGGATACCTTGTAATACCTGAGTCTGACCCTCGTATGGAATTGCCAACCACTTCAAGGCCCAGTGAACTTGCATTGGGCTGTAGGACTCCAGCCAATCCATGCCTAGAATGGCATCGAATTTACCCAAAGGTAGAACCCGGAAATCAGTTCTAAAGGAATAGGATCCCATGGTCCACTGAACTTGTCGAAGCAGCAAGGAGCTCTGTAAGACACCACCACCAGCCACTTGCACACAGGTAGCAACAGATACTGAATCGAGGTGATGTAACTGAGTAGCTGTTGTGTCACTGATAAACGACGATGAACTCCCTGAATCCACCAGAATATGAACTGGAATACCTGACATGGAGCCCAACAGCCGGATAGTACGAGCGGTAGGAACCCCAGACACAGCTGACTTGGAGATGGCTAGAAACACTTGCTCAGTTGATTGATCATCAGAAGTGTCGACGGTGTGCACCACCTCAGGATCCAGGGATTCCCACAAAGCTTCAATCGCATGCAATACCTCTGGTGCACACCGGTGATCCTTACTCCACTTGGCGTTGCACATGTAGCATAAGCCTAGTGCTCGATGGTATGCTTTGACAGCAGCCAGAGCACCAGATGTCGAAGATGTTGCCGTGGGCTCGGCAGTTGCAGGCTTCACCATAGGCTTCTCGACGCGAGACGGAGGTGGTGGAAGCGGCAACGCGGTCCGTGGTGTAGGTTTCTGAGACCACTCAACCCGTGTATGCGAAACGAACGGAACGACGATCTGGGCGCCCGACACGCACCACCTCCTCCTACACAAGAGCCATGCAAATAGCAGCATCGAGTGTTTGGCGCCTAGAAACCAGAATCATAGCTTTGAGGTCGGGCCTAAGGCCATCGATAAATCTCATGGTATAAAACAGGGGATCAGTAGAAGCAGAATAGGACTTAAGGCGATCGATTAAAATGGAGAAACGCTCGACATAATCCGACACCGTAGAAGTTTGTTTGATATGGAACAATTGGCGAATTAATGCTTCTTTCTGGTCACGATCAAAACGACCGTGCAAGGCTTGACAGAAGGAGGTCCAATTGGTAGTAGCTGGAGTGTTTTCGATGGATTCGTACCAACCTGCAGCGGCACCCTCCACATACATGGTGGCGACGCTAACCCAAAGGGAGGGGTCCACGACGTACATGGTGAAGTATCGCTCACAGCGAGAGCGCCAGAGGCGTGAGTTTTCACCATCGAACTTAGAAAATGGAAGCTTGGGAAGGCGTCCAGTTGGTTGTTGCAGGTCATGGGAATCATGTGGAGTTGGGTGGCGAGGAGTCGAAAATGGTGGACAAGGAGGTATGTAGAGTGGAGGAGCGAGGGGTGGATGCGGAGAAGAAGGGTGCGGATGCGGAGGAATGTGTGGAGAAAGAAAGCGGTGGAGCGGTGGCGGTGCGGAAGTTGTTTGTGTCGAAAGCGGATGAAGGGGGGAGGAGGAGGAGGAGGAGGAGGAGGAGGAGGATCGATTGCTTACCCATGACCGGACGTGAGTCTGCATCCCCGTCCGAGCCCACCATCCCGGTGAGATGTTGCATCGCCGTGCCCACTGGGCGCAGAGGAAGAAGAGGCGACGACTGAAGGCCATTGAGGCAAAACGTCGAACACCTTCGAGTCGCGACTCTAGGAGAGCTTCTGCATCTCGAGTCGCGGGTCGTCGATGAGCGCCTCCATCTCGGGGCGCCAGGTACTGAGGTCCGTGGCGGCCACCTCGAGGGCGGTGACGCGCTCGTCGCGCTCGTCGTGGAGGGCATCGAGGCGGACGGCCTCCAAATCGGCGACGCGGCGGCCGATGGTGTACGCCGTGTCGGCGCCAGCGAGCTCAAGGGAGTCGAGGCGTTTGTCGACGGCGGCGTCGCGGGCGGAGCGGCTAAGCTCGAGATCGGCGAAGCGCCGCTCCCACTGCTCGTTGTGCTCGTCGAAACGACGCCCGAACTCCTCCTTCGACTTCTGGATCTCCTCCAGGACCAACTTGAGATTCGGCTCCATGGCTCCCCGGGAGCGTTGCAGACGGGTAAAGTGGGTATGAGGGGGATCGGAGGCCAGGACTCGAACAGAAATCTGATACCAAATTGTAAGGGTAAACTACTGGAAGAAGAAAATACTGGGAGGAAGAACCGGAAGAACAGGCAGGAACAGCGCGATGGCCGGATTTTCTCGGAAACAAAGTATAGTTTTGTGTTTTCCTCCCTGTCCTCCCCTCTCTCCTTACCGCTACTTAATACATTTACTAAGCTTGCCACATTGGGCCAGCAATCCTTATATTGGGCAAGCAGATCTCTTGGGTCGATCAGCCCGAGCGACCTCTGATCGACTTCCGTAGCGTCGTCCTCGATGAGTCACCCAAGCACATGAAGTGGCAGTGTCGCTAACATCTCGTTCGCTAGCAACTTGAGCTTCTCGCACTAGATCTCGCCAATTCTCCGCCAATTGCACAAGTGCTTCTTCTATTGTGGGGTACGAAAAGGATCCTTAGCTTTGAAACATCCCTGTCACCAATATGAAGAGAGTGTTCATGTCTTTTCGAACCTGTAAATCAAAAACCTAAAGCAGTTCCATCCTTGACATGCTGTATTTAGTCAGGTTTCTAAATGTACACTGTACAATTTTGTTTATTCTGCCCATCTTAACTGTTGCGGAGGGATAAAATAGATTCAAATCGAGTCCTAAGAGGTTGGGTAAAAAGCGGTAGCAATATATTGTGTCTTGTTATATTAGCATAACTTCTTCATTGCATACTTAACTGACTTCCTTGCCTGTACAATCTGTAGAGGATTTTATGACTATGGCCCCGTTCGCTTCGCTGAAAAAACAAGCCAAAACACTGTTTCGGCTGATTTGTTGTGAGAGAAAAACACCGTTCTGACTGAAAAACAAGCTGAAAAAGACGGATTATAAGATAAGCGAACATGATATATATGATAACTATTTTATTAACATCTAGTTCTTTGTGTGCTTTTAGTCTATCCTGACGTGTCTTCTCTTCTCCTTTCTATTTGTTATTAAACACACACACTTACTATATCCTACATGGTTCGACACCATCTCCCTCTCGAATGGCGGCTCAGGCGTCAAGGGGTAGTGGTGGCAGCCTGGCAGGGGGATAAAATTCAATGGAGACTATTCTCATGCACTGATGTGGGCACCTATTACGAATTTAGAGATTTTGGTTCCCGGTCATAATCTATCCCAACTAACCTTATGTAAGTGTAGCAAACCATAAAAAAGTGTGGCTAGAAAATTAGAAGTCATACTTTGTCATGTCTAAGAGAATCTTGCCATACTCTATGACATGTAGAACTCAAAAGAAACTTACCTAAGGTTTGTCAAACAAACATTTTTTCTCGAACGTCACCAACCAATCATTTGCTAATTTAGTCAAACTTGCCTACGATAAAGTGTGACAAACTGTGATTAGTAACCAAAGAGCATGTTCATTGTTGGTTTCAAACAAAAAAACCAAACCAAGGTCAATAGTGTTTTCTCTAAAAAACCAAAGACCAACCAGGTCAAACCAAAGACCAGCCCTAACCAAATGTAATGGACCCAAAGAACCTGTTTTAAGCATCTAATATTTAAGACTCTTGGGCTGTTGGGAAAAAAGCCATTGCTGCTGCAGCTTAGCCCAATTTAAACTTGCTAAATCTTGGTTGAAATTGATTTGAAAATATCGTTTTGCTTAACATGTTATGCAGAGAAAAACTTCTTTCCGATTGAAAAAGAAGTTTGAACAATGCAAGCCGAGGTATGCCAAACGGGGCCTAGCAGCAGCAGACTGCAGCAGCATCTTTTCCTGCAGTCGAACAAGCTGTATATTCTTTACCATTGTTTTTTTTTTCTAAATCTATGCAGCGTGCATAGACATAAAGTCGCGGAGGTGCTCATCACCCCAAAACAATTTTTTTCATGGGTGATAAATGTGGCCGAATTCTAGTATAACCGTGCGTAGGTTACCCATAGCACACGTCTAACTAAAACCCCGTACATTTCCATCTGGACAGAGTTGAATGCACAGCTCAAACGCCGGCGTATGATAATTTTTTTTTTTGCCGCGAACGGTGGAGTAGATTCCGGGTGCCATCGAGTGTATATACAAGGGTTTAAGTCTAATTTGTGGTCGTCCCGCCAGTAATCACGCATGCGGACCCTTATTCTTGCTTGATCACGGAGAAAACGGATGCGTGCGCGCGATCGAGCTGGAGGCGGGCGGCAGCGGTCGAGATGACAGTTCAAACTTCAAATTAACCGCAGACCCAGCTGACAACTGCCAATATCGCTTGTACCAGCCAGGAACACACTGCACATCCAAATCACGACAGCTCACGCCGCTCTGGATCATAACGAGAAGAAACCGACGGTGACCACAACCGGACAGCTAGCTGGTCCGGTCGTATCGTAATCGCCAATCGGGCCCGGGCTTGGACGGATGTGCCGCGGAAGCCGCACGCCACACCCAAGCTCAAGCTGGCTGCTGCTCGTTACGTACGGCCGAACCGGCAGCGGTCCCCGCCTTACGTTGCGTTGCTACGACATTGGGCCGGTTCGTTTGAGCTATTTTTTTTATCTACGAAGTAGTGTTTTTTTAATAATATTTTAGCATAAACACCAGTATAAATTAAATTTCAGCGTCCGTGAACAGGACCATTGCACGCGCAGCCGGCAGATCCCGATCCCTGTGGCTGTTGTCGTGCCGTACGTAAGTCTGTAGCATTCATTCCCCGCATCCCACTCGAACACGGCCGGGTGCGCGTCGGCGTGGCGCAGGTAAACGATTTTTTTTCCCGTTCTTCTTCTGTTTTTTTTTTATATATCTGTCGTTCACAGTCGGCCATGGACGGAACGAATGATGGATAGGCACCGCGATATGGGCTACCGCACGTACCGCTACACATTTGCAGGGGACTGTAATGCTTTCGAGAGCGTGTGCTGCATGGGCCATGGACGCGCGCGTACAGATTCATTTCGTGCTGGGCGTACGGTGCGGCGTGAGAACCGTCATGTCCCGTCCCGTCCCGGCCGAGCTTGTGAGAAGCGGATGGTGCTCGTGCGGTCGTGCCGATGCCGACTGCGTTGTGTCTTCTTGCGTCGGCGAGTGGAAGGCCGGAAGCGCACTGGCGTCGCGCTTTGGATGGAGCGGTTTCGCCAACTGCATTTTTACTCCCCTTGCTGGGCCCATCTTAGGAGCATTTCGCCAACCCGCATATTCTGCCATGGAATGGGCCGTGGCTAAGTTTAAGCCACTTTAATAAGAGGGCCAAGCCCAACAAGTGTCATCGAGGCTCATGAGTTCTCAGGTTTTAGGATGGGAAGTTGAGAACTCTAAGACCTCGTTTGGCAAGTGATGGGCAAGGGCATGGGAATTGGAGGTGAGAGTTTGAGGAGAGAATTAGCGTGTGAGTTTGATTTTTAGTCTTAATCCTTTGTTTGGTAAGTGGTAGAAATCGATAGAGGGAGTTAAAAATAGAATTGTAGTCCACCATTTGGTACGTGAGCTTGGGCATGGGAATTGACAACCCTTACCCTGTTTATGCGTTCTTTAGACAAAATAATAAAAGCATGTTTGTACATCTGCACCTGCAGCTTTTGGTCTCCAATTGCTCATCACGACTGAAAAGCAACAATTTGCAAACACAATCGCCCTTAGCTGCCGCAACCTAAATCAAATGAGCTAAAATAAGCAACACTTTTTTGTGTAGCGCAAGTTGACAGAGGCTTCTTATATTGAAATTGCCTGCTGGAATTCCTTATGTATAACTTTTTGGTCGTGCCCAAGAATGTTCAAAAAAATAGCCACCAAATTCCCGCACTAGAGAACACAGTGCTCTAAAGCAGCCCCTATCCATTCGTAGTTGGTCAATGCATTCTCTATCACTCGTAAAAATGTTACTCAAATTTTGGGACCGTAGAACTAGGTCATACCAAGAAGGTTGCCTAACTTGTACCATCCTATATCGACGCCTCCTAATTAACAGTATCCATATTTGCAGGAGCACATATAACATTATCAATATCTTCACTCGACGTTGTCTCATTGTCTCCCACAGGATAATGATATGATGGTTGTTTGGTCGGCGTGCCAAAGCTGTGAACAAAATTAGAGTGCAATTTGATTTGGATTAGTGTTTTATACAGAAAATTTTGAGTACATCGACCCATGCGCATATATGTACAAACAATGGGACACAAAGCAAGCAATCGAGGAGGATTTGAGTCGTGGGCAAGACACACACACTGCCCTCTTTCAAGGCCGGGCCTGGATTTTAGTCTTGTGTCGCAACTTGGAGCCTCCACGAGGAGCGCACAACCGCACGAGGGAGAAATTGCTGCTTTTGCGGAGCTTTATGAGGAGTTGTTCTTTGGAGTGGGAGGGATTTTTGGCGCGAAATGCTAATCTTTTAGCCTTACTTTCATTCCTCCTTCAAGCGCACTCGCAGCAGACGTGAGGAATCGCAGGGTATTTTTGTCTTTATGCGTCGAACTCCCTTCCACACCGATAAAATACCAGGGTCCCCCGTGGGAAGAGATCGATGGGAGTTCTACATCTCAACTCTCTTTCCTCGTCCCACTACAACTCTCTGTCCCACGAAACAAACAAGAGATTTTAAGTCTCCACCTCTCTAACTCCCATTCCCTCCCACCAATTTCCTCCAACCAAACCAGCCCTAAAGAAAAAGGTTTTAAGATGTGGAAAAAATCCTTTTTTTATCACGTGGACTATCTCATAGTCCAAACTTTCTCTTTAAACTATAAAACCCTGTAAACGGCATCCTCCAACTCTCAAAACCATCTAACCTACCTTCCTGCCCCGGTTAGAAGTAGGTTTCAAGGTGGATCTATTATTTTTAAAACTAAAAACATTTCATAAATATCTGATAAGTTTTCTAAATCACAAAAAATATTTGTAAGCATATAAAAGTTTTGAGTATAAATCTAGAGATAGATTTCGACATGATGAAATCAAATAAAATATTTAGAACTCGCGAACATATATCTAGAAGCTTCAAGAAATTAGGTTTGGTTCTAGGGAAATGGGAAACATCCAAGAAATCTAAAAAATTCTCAAAAATTGTAATCAATTTCGAAATGTGTTTTAAAATTTTCCCATAACAAAAATATGAGTTGCAACCAGAGTGAATGAATGAATTCAGCATTAATGTATGTTGCATTCATGCTAGTCACATCTTATATTTGTGTTAACAAAAGTTTCTAAACCGAGGATAGATATTGATTGAATGTTTTGGGAATTTTCCATTTCGTGTGGATAACTTTTCCATTTTGTTAGAATAAAATTTATTTTTTGGAAGCTTATGTATATATTTTTGTGTTTTCTAAATGTTTTGTTTGGTCTTCTCATGTCCCAATCTATCTCGAGGACTTTTCTCAAAAAAAATTATAAACGTAGCGATATTTTTTTGTGTGTTTTGATTACTTATTAGGTGTTTATAGGATCCATTTAATTAAAAAATGACAAGGCTGGAAACCACTTTAAACAGGACGAGGGAGGTAACATATGCGGTTTGGAGAGTCAAGGGAGACATTTTGCCCGGTTTTGAAATTCAAGGAGGAAACCTGGACTACGACGATGAACGCATCTAGGCCCTAATATGGTGATTATGTGATTTTGGTGATTCATGAGCATAAGTATTGTGGTTAGCGTATATTTTTATGAGGCTAACACAATTAACTTAGTAACAATGAGAATGACCAGAAGTGTCCTGGTGTATTGATGATTGATCAAAGCACAAAGGATATTTGTGAAGACTAAGGACTTTGTAGAGTGAATGTAAGCTGCATGGGGACATTGGGTAGTAGTGTGTATTAGGGTTTGTTTTTCTTTTGCCGTACTATTTAGGGGGATCCAAAGTGTTCAACTTGATAGAGTCAAAGCGATAGCATGTGAATGCACAAAAAGATTAACTCTCAATTGAATTGATGGTGGAAAGTAGCCCCATTAAGATGGTTTTAAGTCGAGGATATCAAATAAGTTGGATTGGTCGAGATCAGACTTGAAATTGGTCGACAATTAGCTTCTGAGCATGTACCTAACAATAGGGTTGGCCTTAGCAGATTGTCCATTGGTATTGTTTCTAGGGCAGAGGTGACTTTGTCCTAGTGACTAGGTGAACAACGTATGATCTGGCAGAGGGCTATGTGACCTAGGATGATCATTCGATGATTGTCTACGTCTGTGTGCTTTTCCAAATGGCTAGCAGTATCACCGGATTGTTAAGGGTGGCGATGAAGGTGGGGGAGCAAAAGATGGACTAAGACCTTGTTTGGATGCATGTGTATCCACTTCAATCCACGTGTGTTGGAGTGGAATGGAATGGAACTTAGTTTAATTCCACTCAAATCCACTTCAACACATATAGATTGAGATGGATACATGCGCAACCAAACAAGGAATAAGGAAGGAAGTGAGGGAGCTGACAGGGTACCCCTTGTAGCCTAAGGACAGGACAGGACAGGGACAGAAGTGTGAAGGAAGAAACCCAGAGGAGGAAATTGAGAGGGTAGGCACAATTTCATTGAATCTACACATGGGAAGGGGGGAGGGGGTTGTCTCGGATTATGCCAAGCTAACCACAGGCAGTTTTACTTGCACTGCACAAGGGCAAAGCTGTGCAATTCCGCTGCACAGATACCAGTTTTCACTCACGCAGCTGAAAGTGGTGGCACCTCGGCACCTAACACGCAAATGCCATGCGCGTCGGACGCACAAAACAAATGGCCCCTCTCTCGTTCTCTCCTCCTCGGCCGGCGTCATGGCGAGCACATGATGCCGGCACCGAGCCACCACACCACCGACCCCGCTGTCACGTAAACCAACCCTTCTCCTTTCGAGCTCTGGGCCTCCAGCTTTTGGAGATCCGGTGACTTGCTCGATCCGATTCGCTGCGCTCATGGTCATCCACACGCCGTTGGGGCACCATCGGTTCAGACCTCGGTCCCTCTCTCTCTCTCTCCCTCTCTCATGTGTTTCCTCTGACTGTCCGGGCTTCATCGCAATAGTAGTAGTAGTAGTAGTAGTAGTATATGCTAGCTCCATACTTGCTTCTCGGTCGGCATGCATTCATGGTGTTTTGCTGGTCTTCGTCCTCTCCCAAACCGACAGGGCACACAGAGCCAGTAAAGGCCTGGAGCATCAACTCGTGAAGGCGGTTGGTTTCACTTCAGTTCCTCTCAGTCGCAGTGTCCTTGCGAGGAACGCAGGAAGGGTCTTTGCTATGGACCGCAATTCCACACCCCACATTTCTCCCTCTGCGCTTCTGCGGTGAATGTGATCCAGGGAAGCAGCATAGCTTTTCAGCAGTACTTCCTTCCTTCCTCTCTGGTAAGCACTCGTTCGTCGGTTAACTTGCATCTTCTCTTACAACTACTAGCTGTTCTCTACCTCATGTTGTTTAGTTTCTTCTTCAAGAGCATAGCCATAAATACTGTGTCCTAATTTGTTACTCTTACTCCTGATTCCTGATCCTGAATTACTCTTCAGCAGCATTGAACGTGTAATTGTTCCTTTGGAGTGCATATAGTTCAACTTTCACCGTCACACTGTGAAGTTCACAGGTTACTATTACTTGCTGCTCTGAAAACTTTTTCTTCCTTTGCATGGTGCTTCAAGCTAGGAGTGCTGCAGAGACAACACTTCCAGTACGACGTAGTGGTCTGTGTACAAGTCTACCACACACTGTGAGACTGTGACACTGATTTCTTTGATCCTGATCCCCCGGACGAAAGAAAACCAGCCCACCATGCTGAGGCAATCGTCAGGCAGGAGCCATAGAAGCAAGAAGCTCCGGGCAGCCACAGTTTCCAGGCATTCCTGCTCGTCGCCGTCGCCGTCTGGATCGTGTACCAGCTCACGCATTCGTTCGGCGAGCGACGGCCAGTGGCTGCGGAGACCGGCGGCAGCAACGACGCCGGGTCGGCCCGGCGCCGGCTGGGCAGGAAGGGCTTCGTCCACTTCGCAGGGCGCGCGTCCGTCGATGGCATTGCTGGGGTCAGGACGACCTGGAGCGACGGCTCGTCAGATGATCCTTCGAGCACCAAGGCTGGCGACGAAGAGGACCAGGTGGGTGATGAAGATGATGATGCCGCCGATGGTGACGTTGACGACGCGGACGACGGCCTTGCCGTTGCCGCCGATGAAGAGGACGATGGCATAGATTTCCAGTCACAAGACGGCAGCCGTGAGGACGATCCCAACGACGTGCATGGAGGAAGTCAGAATGGACTGAACATAAGCGTTGTTGCTACGGTGAACGGCACCGGCACTGTGCAAGATGGTGCTGCCGTTCTAGTGCGCAATGCGACTGGCGGTGAAGCAGATGGCAATGGCACTGTTCCTACCCTGAGTGGCTCTGGTTCTGCCCTGAACAACGTTTCATCTGTTGATCTGGAGTCGTTGCGTGACAGAGGAACAGCTGGTGATGTTGCGAACAAGTTGCTTGCCAACCAGAACGGGACGGATAACTCTGGACGTGGCATCTCGAGTTGAGGATGCACGATGCACCCGGGACAGGGAGAAAATCTTCTTCATTCAGATTGTACAGCGTGCTCAGACAGAAGCGCGCATAACTGAACAAAAAAAACTGAAATAGTTTATCTCTACGTTGTAGACGGGTTAATTTTATTTTTTCTCAGATGTCCTATCACCAGATTCCGCTCTAAGCATTGTCTTCTTCGTGCAGCAATAGAACCTCCCGACGAGTAAGGTTGAGAACGGACGGAAAAAATTCCGTTCAGAACCGTTCCGTTTTCTATTTTGTTCTGTCCGTTTTCGTATTTGTGAGATCCGTATTTATGGAAACAGGGGAGTGTTTTTTCCAACCGTTTCCGTAGAATCCCGTTTTCATCCGAAATTGACCCGTATTTATTCTGTTTTTTTATCCCGTTTTCAATCTACGTGAGATATGTCTAGAAATTGATAGGTTCATAAACCTACTAATCACCAATTATACATGTTAACATGTTAAGACATGCTAGTGAATATTGGACTGATAACTTCATACGTGTATATTATTTTGTGACTTTATTCATATATACTCGAGAATATTTGATCATGTTATTCTAAATTAATTTTTTGACTCTCCGTCCATATTTATTTGTTTTCGTATTTCCGTATATCCCCATCCGTTTTTAATTCCGTTTTTTCCTGAACCCAATGCCGTTTCCGCTAAAAATAAACATAAACGGGAGAGGAGTTTTTCCGCCCGTTTCCGTCCGTTTTCATCGGCGACGAGATCTCACCATTCCTGAAACTACAGTTTAGCACAATTTCTGATCCGTTGCTACACAACTAGAAATCAACTAAAACAGCAATAGAGCTTCCCAATGAGCTCATTCCTGAAACTACAGTTTAGCACAGTTTCTGACCGTATGCTACACAGCTAGAAATCAACTAAAAAGTAACTTGGGATTCACTAACACTAGCAAACCCTAAAAATTACCTCGCCCTTGATAGAAAATAAACATAACAAACAATTATGTTCTGCCTTGATAGTTGATATCAATAGCAACGGGAAATTATCACGAGCACTGGGTGCAATCTGAAGCCATCAGAATATGCTAACAGCTTTTGATAATTGTGAAACCATTTACTGAAACCGGGCAAGACCAACTTACATGTGGTCTTTGTTGTGGACAGGAAAGAAAAAGAAAACAAGCCAGTAACAACTAACAACACAGTTAAAACCTGACTGTGAATACAAGAGTTTGGCCATTCTTATTTCTTGTTGCAGCAAATAGGTCTCAAGGGGGAAAAAATCACTGAAACAACCAGATAACTCATTAAAGCATACACCAACTCCTGAAGGTGTGGAAATCAGGGCTCAATGGTGGTCCTTCTTCTCAAACAAGCCATCGGGACCTGCATTACACAATCGTATGATGTATCAGAAATCAGAAATGGAAAAACAATATTCATAATCGGTAACATGAAGTGTTCTGCACTTCTGCTCTAACCAGTCCAAAATCACAATAATATTTACGGTTCACATCTAACTTAGATGATACAAAAGAACTCTCTGGATTCTAAAAGGCATTTTTCTATTAATATATTCAAGACATGCTGCAATGCTTAACGAACAGTAATGGTAATGGAAATGGAAAAACAGTTTGGAGTGAATGACATCTGTTGCATACTACTCCCTCAGTCCCAAAAAGGATGCAATTCTAAGTTTGACTAAATTTATATAGAAATATATTAATGCTTATCATACCAAATAAGGTTCATCAGCTTTGCCATGGATTATATTATCATAATATACCTATTTGGAGTCTTAAATGTTGATACTATTTTCCATAACAGTCAAAATTAAGTTAGTTTGACTCTGACCAGACTTAGAATAGCATCTTTTTTTGGGATGGAGGTAGTATAACATTGGAACAGATTACAATGAAAATACTAAAGCATGCTTTTCGAGGTATTTTTGGAATTTGTGTGACATAAGGGTGAAAAGAATGACAGCAAGATAGACTTGATAGCATGTATGAATGCCTAATTTTGAACTTTTATGGGATACAACAGGACTGTCAGGACTCAGGACAGAATGTACTCAAGAGTCAAGAGCCAATTTGCCATGCTATACATAAAAAGGGCGTACCCAGTGCAGAGAGCTCCCGCTCTGTGCGGGGTCTGGGGAAGGGTGTTAGTGGCAAGCCTTACCCTCGCCTGTGCAATGCGAGGAGACCGCGACTCGAACCCGGGACCTTCCGGTCACAGGCGGTAAGACTCTACCGCTTGCACCAGGCCCGCCCTTCATTTGCCATGCTATACATGATAAGATCAAATTAAATACGACCAACCAGGATGGAGATTAGCTCAACTGTTAACTTTTGTACGGCGCTGAGTACAATGGTAACTCAACAGAGCAAATGATCAAAGATGACAAGCATACCTACATGATTGAAATATGCCCTTTAGTCACAAATAAGTGACGTTTTCGGGTTGTCTGAAGTCATTAGTCAACCATTCCAAACTTCAACTACAAAATACCTTTTATGTGTTGAGTTTGCATGAATGTTTAAACATGATACAGATAGATTTATCTTGAAACGTAGTTTCATAGATACATTATATTAGAAGTTGCAATCAAAGTCTACAGTGGTTGACTTCAGACAACTTGAATAAAACATCACTACGGAGGAAGTAGATCCCAAAGTAAAAGGTATATAGTAGGTCACATGTCTAATGAACATTTAGGACATGATGCAGTGCAACTGAGTTCAACTTATATTCAAAAGCACAGTGGTTTGTGTGAAACATGGAATTTCTAAAAATTAGTGAACAACCCGTAATAATACTGTAAAAAACTCGCTCAATGTTCAAGACCCCAGTTAAGCCAATTGTTTTCCCTTTCTTTAAGATGAGGCAAAGGCATTTTAGTATATACAGTCATACATGACAAGACAACCTCTTGCAGTGTCAAACAGGAGAAACTAATGAGTAATGAAAATAATTCCATCAGCGATGGTTCCTGGCTAGAACCATTATTATCAGATACAGATAACAACCCCTTAACACCCTCACTGGTCTTGCAATATTTGTGTAAAACAAAGCAGTCAAGAATAAGGGGGGAAATAGAATGTCAATGTGCACCCTTAATATCATTCGTGAAGCTACAGATAACAACCCCTTAACACCCTCACATGGTCTTGCAAAATTTGTGTAAAACAAAGCAGTCAAGAATAAGGGGGGAAATAGAATGTCATTGTGCACCCTTAATATCATTCGTGAAGCTATCAGACAGATGCATCCAATTAATTAACCAACTCGATAGTCCTATATCCAATTGGAGAACTCTGCCAACTAAATGCTAGGTTATAATGTCATATGAGGCCTCTGATACACAAACCATTACACATTAATCCGATGGCTTGGCATGTCACCAAATCAAGCATTAATCCTTGACGCATTTCAATCAAACCATATCAGAAGGGAACGGAACAAATAATATAAATCAAACAAGTAGCTAAATCGAAATGATAGAGGTGTACAGTCCATACCCCAGGGGAACTCCTTGTTGCGGATGTGCAGATAGGGGAACGCCTGCAACAACAACAACAACAATAAAAACATATCAGATATTCAGACTCAGGCCAAATCTAATCATAGAATCGGAGAACACGAGAGCGAGATCTGACCGGCGGCTCCTCGAAGTGGGGGTGGCCCTTCGAGAGGTTGTACGCCGCCAGGAGGGTGCAGGTCACGATCCCGGCGTAGGTGATCTTCTCCCACTTGGCCGTCTCATCTGCGAACGCGGAAAACAAAAGGGCCCCGAACCAAAATCAGGAACCGATCGGGTCTCGCAAAAGGAGAGAAGAACGGAAAGGGGTCAGCGACCACGGCGGCGAGATGTACGCACAGGCGTCGTCGTGGACGGAGGAGGACATGCGGCGCCTCAACGGGGCGGCGCGCGCCGCCAGCGACCGTAGGCCGGATCTCGTCGCCGACGAAGCCATGGGTGGTGCCGCTGGTTTTTGGGGAACGAGTCGAGAATATGGCTGCGTCGTTCGTTCCGGGGGGCTGACCTGGCTCCCTACCTTCGCAGCCTTCTTTAATCCGCTGGTTTTGGTGGGCTTAGCAATCTGGGCTATTTTTGGGTCGTGGGCTTCATGCTAAGGGGTGTTTAGATACCCCTCCTGAATAGCCCGATTCCAGATCGGCAGTCGTTCGCTCGGCTTCGATCAACACTCTCTCCGACTTTTATTCCATTACGTTGGCCTCGTTTTTCCTTTTTTTTTTTTTCTAATTCTAGCTATTCGTGAACGTTCGGATCCAAATAAGCCACAAGTAACATAGACCACGTGCACGTGAGCACGTCATATGTGGGTTGGCCCAATTATTTTTCCCCATGAATCTAAATTAGCACGTTGTTTGCTCTGACAAGTCCGTTCACTTTTCTTTGTTGGTTTTTCTCCTTTCATTTTTCTTTTATTCTTTTTTTTCTTTATAGCGGTGTCGACAAGTTGTATAGAATAACTTTTGTACACAAGTTATATAAAAATAACAACATATGTACATAAGTTGCATTTGATAATTTTTGTACTTACATAAGTTGTGTTTCGTAACTTTTATGTTTTCAAGTTTGGTATAAGTTATAAGTTTAATTCGTTCCTTTGTGTTTAATAACTTTCCTGCTTTAAGTTTTGAAATAAGTTATAAGTTAATTCGTTCATTTGTGTTTACTAACCTTTATACATAAGTTATGTTTATAACTTTGGCAAATTATATAGAATAACTTATGTACACAGTTGTATAGACTAACTTATGTATATAAGTTATGTTTGATAACTTTTATACATAAGTTGTGTTTCATAACTTTTGTGTTTCTAAGTTTTAATATAAGTTATAACTTTTGTCCCAGCTTACAAGAATAGATATTGATATGTTGTTATTGAAAAATAAGGAAAAAGGATTTAAAGTCATATGTCCATTTAAGGACTTCAATATTGTTGAAGAAGATGCTCTCGTAATTGTTAGCAACTTTTGTAAAGTCTTCAAGTGTTCATATTCAGTATCGAGAAGAGTTGATGTTTACAGTATGGTCACTGCTTTTGCTAGTATGTCCAATTCAACTAGCCAATATGCTTCTTTGACTTCTTCACCGATTTTAGCAACATATCATTTGTTCAACCTTTAAAATATTAACATTTCAGAAAAATCATTATCATTATTTTACAGAAATGACAGTGGAGTATTTGTTCTTCAATTACTTAAATCTTATGACGACCAGACTCACCTTTATTTCATAGAGGTATTACTTTGTACTAAATGTATTAAAACTAGTTATAATACTCTGATTTTTTTCTATTTATCAAGTTCTATTTAAAACTGTGATATTTGATTAGGACGTATTGCCTACATCTTCAGATTAGTTGACAAGATGTTTTTCAAAATTTTATGCCATGCAGGAGCATGTAAAACCTATTCGTGAGGCATTGACATACTATTTATGCATCCATGAGGAGAATCAATCTTTGTAACATGCAATACGTGACATAGCTGAGCAACATATAAGATTTCATATTTGTACATGTAATTTTGTGTTTGATGGAATCCTTATCTTTGCTCCTTCTTAAACTTGTCAGGATATAAACCTTTCAATTTCTGGACCAGCAAGGTATGACTGGTATGATTTTCTTGCTAGTCAACTTAGTTGATTAATTTATTGTATAGAGTTATGTATCTAACTTGTGTTTTCATGTGTATGCTATGATTAACTTATTGTATAGAGTTATGTATCGAAATTGTGTTTTCATATTTATGCTACCTAACTTATTTGATTAACTTATTGTATAGAGTTATATACTTAACTTGTGTTTTTATGTGTATGATGCCTAACTTATTTCATTAACTTATTGTACAGAGTTATGTATCTATCTTGTTGTAATTAATTTCATGTTATCACACTATGTTAGATAATCATGTTAGTTTTTTCTATTAAGTTATGTGTTTCTTGTTGTCAACTTTGTTATTTGTATTTATGATTTTAAATATTAAATATTTTGTAGATCTCCCAACTGAAGACACCGATATGGCTGAATATCATAGTTGTACAAGTTATGAAAATCTATTATGTAACTTGTTATTGAAGTTTGCATTTTCTTATGGAATTTGTTGTGTAGTATAGTGTGTAAAAGTTACTTTTATTTTGCTTCCCCGCCCTTTTTTAAACCTTTTTCTCATTTTCCCGAATGATTAGTTTCTGAAATAAAAAAAAAGCCGATGAAAACCTAAAGAGAATGTTATTGTCATAGTGGAAAAAAGAAAAAGTAATATTGCATAACTTAGCACGCTTAACTTATTTCTACAAGTTATGTTGTGTAACTTAGTTAGTGTGAGTTATGCGCGTGAGAAAAGAGAATGACAGCTTCACATGCATGCACACAAAAAGAAAATGAGACTGGCGCATCCGTACACGCGAAAAGGAAACGAGCGCCTGCTTGCCATAAATGGAAAGAGGTGGGATCTATTTTTTTCCTAAAATAGAAACTGCTATAGTTGTTCGATCGTTCAGCCAAAATAAATCGGGTGAACGTTCGCTGATTAGTCAGCCTGCCTAAATAGTCCCTATCACATCGATGTTTTACACAACATAGACTAAATACAAAATTAATTAATCGTACAGATCCAGATTAATTTGCGAGACTAATCTACTAAACCTAATTAGCCCATGATTTGACAATGTGACGTTACAGTAAACATGTGCTAATAATGGATTACTTAGGCTTAACAGATTCATCTCATAAATTAGTCTCTATCTATGCAATTAGTTTTATAATTAGCTCATGTTTACCCATATTTAGTTCTTCTAATTAACATCCGAATATCTGATATAAGAAACTAAACTTTAGTCCTAGGATCAAACACCAAGTGGCCTAACGTGACATTGCGACAGCAGCAGCCACCTCAAAATCGTTGACCTCCAACTATTTGTTTTCCCTATTTCCCTAGGGTTCAGATTCTTAGGGCATCGGGCATGGAGTAAGTCGCCGGTGACTTTCCTTCAGCAAGTTAGAGAATCTGAACCTATTTCCCTACAAGAAGTCTACTAGAATGTTTCTTTTATTAGTTTCGAAAAAAGACCGTTTCTTTTCTTTAGTGGAATATACTTTTTTCCTTCTGTCACAACATATAGCTTTTCCTAGTCGAAATAAATGTTTCACCGGGAGAAGTAAATGAAAGATGTTTATAATAAAGTGAAGGGAAAATATCCACCGAGGAAGCATTGTTCACGGCTTAATTTCAGTGTCCGTTACCAGATAAATAAATAATTGGTTGTTTAAAAACAAATTGGAATACTCATGATTGGTCACTTTGAGTATGATATGTACCAGGATACTGCATGTCTCATGAGTCAACGATACGTGGGTCCATTTTTAAGCTAAAGACACTAGCGGAGCTAAAAGCTTTTGGAGTCAGGGTGATTTTTCATTATGCAAAATAATAGTTACTCTTTCTGTTTTAAATTATAAGACGTTTTGATTTTTTTAGATACGTTATGTCTAGATGCATAGTAAAAGCAATGTATAAAAAAAACAAAACGTCTTATAATTTGGGACGGATTTAGTACTAAATTATAGTTTTATTCTTTGATATGAGGCTGATAGATAGGGCAGACGATGGTTTAAGTTGCTTTGCTTCAAAACACCATTCTTTGTCAGGCAATTACCTCGGAAGCTTTTGATGATACGGCAGTGGGAGTGCTGATTGCTGAAATTAAAGCATTAGTTGCTGATTGTTTCATCTGGCGTGTCGAGACGCGGTGAAACTGTCCGCACAGTTTGGCTTCCACAAAATTCGCTTGGAAACTGATTGCTTCATGGGAAAAACGTACGACGCAGCGGTCTGTCATTGCACCGATCCTCTCCGAGATAAATGAGCTCATGCTTGCCTCTACGGAGTTTGTTTTTACCTTTGCTAGTAGATCTTGTAATAGAGTTGCACATCTGTTAGCCAAACAAGTTACAGAAACACAACGGTCGGAATTGTGGCATGTAACTCCGGCTTGTGTTTGTGACTTAGTTGTATCTTAAGCTCCGGAATGATATGAATAGATGCAAGTTTATCGCAAAAAAAAAAAATTGAGTGTGTGTTTAAAGTTCGAGAATGTAATAGAACTGCTCACGAGCTGGCTAAGTTGGGTCATTTGTGTATTCGGGGAGAGGAGCGAGAAAAAATTGAGTGTGTTTAAAGGTCGAGAATGTAATAGAAATGTGTAAGGAAAATGGACTCTAGGCCCATTTGCTTTGGATTTTGGTGTTTGATGACCAACACAACCAAATTGAACTAATGAATTTGCAAGTGATTATTTTGTAGTTCAATAGGGTGCAAGACGTGACTTGGACGAAGGCGACACGATGATCCGATGATCAACACCATACGCAAGACCTTAGAAGTATAAGAGAAGATCCAAGATATCAAGCAAAGTCCAAACACAAAGATAGGAACTAAGACGGACGCAAGATCGCGAAGAAACGAGCTCACAGAGGTGACCGGACGCTGGCGGAAAGCGACCAGGCGCTCCGATCAAGTGGCTCGGCAACAACAGGCGCGACCGGACGCTGGCGACAAATCAACCGAACGCAAAACTGCAGCGTCCGATCAAGTACAGAAAGGTTCCAGAGCAGCAAAATTGCGATCGGACACGTCCGGTGGCATGTGACCGGACGCTGGCAGCGTCCGATCAGTTGATCGCAGCTCTAACGGTCGGGACGATCGGACGCGTCCGGTCAGGACGTGATCAGTGTCTGGTCAGTAGCAGAAAAGCGAAATTTCATCCCCAACGGCTACTTTCTCAGTGGGGCTTATAAATACAACCCCCAACCGGTCATTTAAAGTGTGTGGAGCTGAGGGAACATATCAAGGGTGTTGATACATCATTTTAGTGATCTCCACTTGCATAGTGCTTAATAATTTATTAGGTGATTAGCGTAGGTGCTTTGCGAAGTGCTTAGGT